TCAATATTATTCGGCTTTTGTTCAGGCTCAGCTACTGATGCAGAATGAGCCCAAGAGGGAAGGTATTTAAAGTTAAAATGCCTTCCCTTGACTCTCCGAATTGCGCCATGGTGTTGCCAGCTGGAAGCCCTTGCTTAGCTGGCCTAGCAACCCTAGCTAAGAGACTTTCCTCCCTTTACCCAGCTAGGCCACAGTTCCTGGCTTTGTTATCTCTCCCCATCTGTACATACCTCAGTGTGCTTGCTGAGCTAATGCACTCGAATCACCAAACCCACATTAATCCTGCCAACCCTAAATTATGGCTCAACCAGTCTACAATAGACTAGACCTCCACCAACAGTTGCAGTGTGAAGCTAGAGTTGCCAGCTGGCAGCCCATGGCGAGGCATTGGTGCATCAGCAGTGTGACATCATTTCTGGGGTTGAACCCAGAAGTGTTATTGTGCCATCAATGCAACACTCTAGCATTCATCTGAAATGCCATGGCAAAACCCAAAAGTGATGTCATGCCACCAACATGATACTCTAGCATCCACCATAAACTCTATAGTAAAACAATAAGAGTTTCCAGTGAATGCTAGAGCATCATATTGACTTTGTGATGCCACTTTTGGGTTTGCCCTCAGAAATGACATCAATTCCATTGACACAACTGCAATTCCTCTGCCCTAAAATGTGAGGGAAGCTCTTTGTATAAACTTTTTTTCTTTCTCAAGATTTATTTTTAAAAAACTGTCTATTTTGCTGGAAAAGAAACTGAAAAACTTCAGATAATTTCCTGTTGTACTGAGCTTTTTAATTAAACCTAGCTCACAGCAAACTTTGTATTATAAAAGCCCACCTGGCCATATCCAATTATTCTTTCAATATAAATATCATTTATTCATTTTATAGAAAAAGGGATTATATCATCTAGGTAGATTTTCAGATGATAAAACAGCTTCATTTAAATTCCTTGGATGAGAGAAATAGCCGAAGCCATATTCTTACAAAGTCATCAGTTTATAATCACATCAAACAGCATTTTCTATTCTCATGATTATTCTGCTTGATCTGTATTTTATAAGTAATTTAAAGAAAATGTACCCAGTGAGTAGCTGGGCTTCTAGTTTACAAAACTGAAGCTAAATGTTTTAAATCTGATTATTGAAAATGGTGCTCTACCTTCATTACAAAAAAAAAAAAAAAAACCCTTGTGAAAAATTATAATCATATTTGTAGAAAATGCTAGTGGCCCAGCACTTTCTAATTTTTTCTTTTAAAATTTTCTTGTTTGTCCACCCTCCTGCCTGTCATGGTAAATTATTCAACAATGGGGACCAGTTCTAGTTACTGCAAAAAGTATTCCCTATATTTAGTTCTATAGAAACATTTGCAGTTTTATCGCAAATGCTTTACAAGTACAACGTCCCAAGAAAAGCTGGCATTGCACAATCTGAGTGATAGAATGTTCCAAGAGTACAATGTCCATCCCTTTATCATTTGGTAATTCAGATCCCCATGTCTTTATCTTCATCTTGTTTAGAGCAGAAATGCTACATTGGAAGTTTGAATACATATAGTCTAGAAGCTTAAAATAGACTAAGAAGGCCATTTATAATTTTCACCTTTTATTAAAAAATTACGTGGAAAAGCTCTTTTCCTTTTGCTTTTTTAAATAGTTTTTTCCCCATGACTAATTTAAGGCACACCTGTCACAGTGCTAACTATGAGCAGAAATCGGCTAACTTGCCTGTAATGACTAAAATAGTCTGAGAATCATACTTCAGAATGATAAATAATGACTTTGGCTTCGGCTTTGTCTTTATTAATAAATTCTATAAATGGGATTTTTGTGCTGATGCTTGAGAGATGTAGTTCATTGCCCAGGATAATATAATGCCAGTGATGGATACTTGCAAAATTAAAATGTCAAAGTTGTAAATTGAAATGAGTGGCATGTACACTCCCATGAATTACCATGAAAAATATGATATATGCGCCTTTGTTTTGTTTAATTTTTTTAATTTACAGAAGTACTTTTCAATGGGGTGGATGTTTTCAGAACCAAATTACTAATTGTATATCCTGGTAATGTTGATTTAAATGTGCATCCTGGTAATGTTGATTTAAATGTGTCTTTTTATGTATATTTAATTATAGCAGCTAAGGGCAGAGGCAGATTAAAAATTGATCATTGTCTAAAATGGTACTGACCATTGTCTAAAATGGTGTCAAATGTATTAGTTCCGTGACTATAAAAGCTCATTGTAACTTTTAGCATTTACTCACCACCAAGAAATAACCAAGAGGTATTTTTTCTTCTTCTTTTCTAACTGCTTCCATTTTTGTTATTTTAATTTTTTTAATGCAATCCATTTATCTTTCCCTCTTCTCTGGTCCTTTTCTTTAATTTCCCGTGATCCATTCATGTGGGCAGTAAAGGTTCAAAGGAGCAACAGGCAGCTTACCTGGGATTCTTATGCCAACAGCCAGAGCGGCGTCCTCTCCTGCCACTATTATAATACCTACCATCCTGACCATTGCAGAACACCAGCTTTGAAATGCCAGAAAACGCCTCCTCAAAAACACCTTCGTAATGTTCCATGCTTTTTCCTCTGTGCTTATATTTATTATCATTATTATTATTATTATTATTATTATTATTATTATTATTATTATTATTATTTCATCATTTTCTCTCCTTCATACTTTCCCCATTTCACGCTTTAGAATCTTGGAGTTTCACAGATGTCTCCCTTTTTGTTAGAACCATGTGAGGTTATTTCTGACATCTGATGCATTTTCCACTTCTTTAATATATGTAATTTTAGTTAGAGATATAAAGGATCGGGGTGTGTGTGATAGGGAACCTTTTCCCCTAAGGTTTTTTTTTAAAAAAAAAAAAATCCTGCAAGAAAATTTGAAATATGGAGGCCCCGTGAAAAACTTGTTATGAAATATTGTCTTTTGGAATGTGTACAAAATACTTTTTGAAGGAAGGCTTTACTAACACAGAATGTGTAGCATGAACTTTATCTTACATAAAAGTCTATTTTTAGCATTAGAAAGCAATAATTCATGTGACCACTACAGACATATGCAATATTTTCAAGGATATATTTGTTTAAATGTGTCTAATTTTGTGCTTAATTAACATGTTGTTATGTATATGATTCTAAAACCCTATGACAATATTTCATTGTTTAAAGTTTATTTCAATATCCAGATATGCTGCTAGACAGTCTCCATTCAAATGTGTGTGTGGTTGTGTGTGTGTGTGTGTGTGTGTGTGTGTGTGTGTGTGTGTGTGAAGTGTCATCCAGTTGCAGCCAACTTATGGTAACCCCAGCAAGGGGCTTTCAAAGCAAGTAAGAAGCAGAGGTGGTTTGCCATTGCCTTCCTCTGCAGAGTCTTCCTTGGTGGCCTCTCTTCCAAGTACTGACCCTGTTTAACTTCTGAGATCTGACAAGATCAGGCTATACCATACCACCTTCCTTCCCTCTCTGTCCAAATAATGGATAGCATTTTGTTGCTATGAAATTTGTATTTTCTATTTCCTACCCCCTGCTTCTCAGATTAAATAAACTAAGATAAGTGTGCTAAGGTAGCAATGGGTGTGACACTTTACAGTCTAACACTGAAGTCATTGGGCTTAGACTGAAGTAACTGCATAGGATAGGCTGTAAATTTGATGAGTATATCATATAGTACAATTTTACATACGAGCTAAACAATAAATTATGTGCTTGATGTTGTTCTTGCTGAAGGGGGCAGGACTTTTTGTTCTCCTGGCCTACCCCCCCCCCCTTCCCTGCCACTGTTTGACAAGCCAGAGAGAGAAAACTGGAGGGTGGAATGCCATATCATGTCAACACACAGCTTCACTTCTGGTGAAAACTGGAAGTAACATCATTGGTTTAACCAAAGCTCTGCTGAGCTTTGCCTTAAGCAGAGTCTATAGTCCACCATAGTGGCTTCCTCACCCACACGCTTCCCTTGTCTTGTTTCAGTCTGCAGCTATGCACAATCTGGAATTTCATCGCACTCATTAAATTGTTTAGCTGGCACCTCTTAAGGGTTTTTATGTTTTTATGTTATATGTGTTAATATTGTATTGTAGCTGTTTTATAAATTATATTCTATTTTACATCTTTGTATGTTCTAGAATGTTATAACCTGCCCTGAGCCTGCTCTGCAGGGGAGGGAGAGCTAAAAGTCCAATTAATTAATTAATTAATTAATTAATTAATGGCTTTAGGGTGAATCCTAGAATATCACCCAGTGTGATGCCATCACTTCTGGTTTCCTGCTGGAAGTGACATCACATGTTGGCATGATACTGAAGAGTTTGTCCCTACCCCTAGATTTTCTCACCATGCTGCCAGCTATGGCTGGCAACCCAATCTTACAGTAAAATAAGTTTCAGTTTGATAAGAAAGTAAGTATTGCCTTAAGTCAATTTCCACCAAATATTCCATTTTTTCCCCTGGAGAAAATCTGGCTTTTCTCATGGTTTGGAAAATTCTGAACATTTTACATCTATAGCTGATAGAGGGGGGGATTTTAAAACCATAAAAGATCTAATTTCCAAGACATAACACTATGTCATCCAGTTTGGTATCTTATTAACAGCTTATGACAGAAATCACCTTTTCCAAAAAATGCACTGCTAGATTCAGTATTTCTAAACACATTCTCACAGCTGTTTGTTTAAACTATTGTTGAAGTCACTTGCATTCATCATGAGAATGCCAGCTCCTTAAAAATTTGACAGACATTTATTTTGGTATCTATGGCTCAGTTAGCGAAAATGGGTCCTTTTTGTGTGGCTCATATGACCCTGAAATTCTGACTGTGTTTGCCACGCTTTTATACAGTTTGTGATTTTGCTACAGAATCTACACAAACTATTATTGTCTGCTGTATGCACTGTCTTTGATTTTATTAGTGAGTGAATGGCATGTATTTTACTGTTCCCCACTGTAGTGTGCCTCTTGCTAAAGGTTTCCTTCCTTTCAGCAGCCCTGGTGTCTTCATCCTTCTCTTCTGCCTCCATGAGTGCATACAGCCTAAGTTCCTTGAACATGGGGACCTTACCTCGCAGTCTTTACTCTACTAGCCCACGGGGAACCATGATGAGAAGGCGAATGAAAAAGAAGGATTTCAAAAGCTCGTGTAGGTAACCGTGTTAGTTGTTTGAAGTGTATATTCAAAGGGCATGTGAAGGGATCATTTCAAACAATATGACACTACACTGCAGTTTAGATTTGTTTGGAGTTAGGAGAAGGGAATAGTTTACATGCATTTTTTGATGTGCAAGAGGAGCATTCAGCCATAAGCTGCATATTTTCCAAGTCCAGCATCCAAGAGATGATATTTCTGCCTTCTGTTACTCATTTATACTTTCTGTGTGTGCAAACCTTACTTCAACATCTGGAATTTTTAAGTGTGTTATTAGCATCTAAAACCCAAACCCACAGGAACAAAAATACAGAATTTTTTAAAAAGACCTCCCCAAAACCCCACCTGTGCAATGTTTATATTTCTAAGCTGCTCTGCTGCAGAATAGCAGTGGCTAATTCCATCCATTTTAAGAGCTAATTGGGTTGTCAGTTACAGACACCATTAGAAAACCTTTTTTTTTTTAACCAAGAACTCAGAATTGGCTCACAATATAAACGGAGATTCTGCACGTGCACAGGACGCAACATCTCCTGGCGATGCCAGGCCCCAAGGAGGCCAGGCTGGCCGCTACCAGGGCCAGAGCCTTCTCGGTGGCGGCTCCTACCTGGTGGAATGAGCTGCCGGAGGAGATCCGGGCCCTGCAGGACCTCGCACAGTTCCGCAGGGCCTGCAAGACGGAGCTCTTCCGTCAGGTGTTTGAGTAGGAGCCGCCACTATCGTACTATCATTATCTGGCCCTGGGAGAAAGAACGACAGCGCTAAGCGGAACAAATGGCACTGAGGGATATAGCAGCATTAATACGCCATCTTCATGGAAGATCTATTCGGAACATCCAGAGCACTTAATAAAGTTGTAATATTGTAGAAATGATTTCAAATGGTGAGCCATCCTGAGCCCGTGTAGCGGGGCGGGCGGGCTATACATTGAATTTATAAATAAATAAATAATGTTGCCATCCTGCAGGTGGTGGCTGGATATCTGCTACTATTACAACTGATCTCCAGGTGACAGAGATCCATTCATCTGGAGAAAATGTCCATTCCCGTTCCCTCCTCGGCTGAAACCTCTCCAAAACTAGGGTTGCCTACCTCCAGGTGGCAGATGAAAATCTCCCGCTATTACGACTGATCTCCAGAAAACAAAGATCGGTTCCCTTCAAGGAAATAGCTGCTTTGGAAGGTGGACTCTGTGGCAGTATAACCCATTGAAGTCCCCTCCCCTCCCCAAAGGCCTACCCTCCTCAGGCTCCACCCCCAAAATCTCCAGGTATTTCCCAACCTGGAACTGACATAGGGTTGCCAAGTCCGGCATTGCGCCGCAGCGGGGGACTCCCGGCTGGCGGCTGGAGCGTGCCGCATGCACGCCACCCGGAAGTGACGTGATGACGCCGGGCACACTGGGGGCGGGACCACAACCATCCGAGGGAAAACCATAGAGTTTTCCCTCGGATGACCGTGGCCCCGCCCCCAGTGTGCCCGGCGTGGTCACGTCACTTCCGGGTGATGCGCACGTCGGGGTGGGGCTCCCCCCAGGGCTCGATCCGCCACCGCCGGGGAACGGGCCTCTGGGGTGGGGGTTTCCCCGCCCCCCCCGGGGGACTCCCTGCCCCCCGGGAGGACTGGGCAAGCCTAAACTGACAACCCGAACATGCTCAGAATGTTCTGTTACTTAGGTCACTTTTTTGTCTTAGCATGGGCACTACTTTCAGACTACAAAGAATTAAGCAACATCTCCCAAAAGGCCAAATGTATTTCACATTGAGATTTGGGGAGGGTTTTTTTTAAAGCTCACCATAAGGTTCAAATACCAAGAAAACAGAGGTACAGAGAATAATTAACTGAGAACGCATGAAAAGTCTTTGCAAAAGCTATTTGATATTAGATTGAGAAGCTCTCTGGGGCTTGAGTCATGCAAGCTCAGGAGTTGTACTTCTTTTTCCCCCGAGGCTCAAAAGCTTCCCTAAGCATGCCCATATTACTGAAAGCTTTAAAAAGCACTCTTTGCAGTATTTGCTTAGCTCTTTATGAGCTGCAGATAATGTCTATGACTGGAACATAAATGGACTTAAATAGCACATTTTGCATATGTGCAGAATTTCTTTTTACACTTTGAACTCATTTTGATCTTCTCAAGGAAAATGCCTTCTTATTGTCATACATGTATTATGAGCAGATTCCAAGCCATGTGATTATTGTCTAGCATTGCTACACAAAATGAGTGGAGTTTCACATTCCATGGCATTTCACATTCTAAGTTGGCCATCTTTTTATACAAGAAACTTTGTTCGTGTTCAGCTGTGAGATCTAACAGACGGTTGTTCAGACTGTAGGTTGTATGATCTTCAGGTGAGTTTTATTCAAGGTATGAGTTTTTGTGTGCATAGACACTTCCTCGAATACATTGAAATGGATGGTAACAGTTCATAGATATACCATCGATTTCAATGTATCTGAGGAAGTGTGTGTACACACGAAAACTCATACCTTGAATAAAACTTTGTTGGTCTTAAAGGTGCCAGTGAACTTAACCTTTGTTCTACTGCTTCAGATCAACACAGCTGCCCACCTGGATCCATCTTCAGCTGAGTTGATGGTAATGGAGTTTTGGTGTCTGAGCACTGCTAGAAAGTTATCAGCACCTACTGTTAATAATAGGGTATCACATTGAAAAAAACCTTTGTTTTAGTTTATAAGTTTTTCCTAATACGTATTGAAACTATAGTAGAGACTGCCGGTGCTGGAGAAATCTTCTTAGAACAGGTCTTCTTAGAACTTACTCCCAGCAAATTGCTTTTAGAGTTGCAGCCTGTGTAGCCTAACTGACACTAAGATAGCACTAAATATTGTCAACATGGACTTAAATGGCATATTTTGCATATGTGCACACTTTGCGTAAGATAGCACTAAATATTGTCAACAGACTGGCTGAAATGGAGAGTGTGGGCTTTGATTCATACAGCTTTAATATTTTGAATCAATGGGATTAAATCATAGGTCAGAGTGGATTCTGCCTAATGTGGTGCCAGACAATGAATGGGTCAAGATCCTCCACCATAGTACTTCACTGGGGCCTGGATATTTTGGTGCAGTTACTGTGCCCCAGTGGATAGCATGCAAGAATATTTTCTGAAACTCAAATCACTGCTCTTCCCTAAACTCTGTGAATAACACCGTACAAGTTAGCAAGAAGGTCTGATTTCACAGACTTGTCATGCAACTGCCATAATGCAATTAGGATTGTAAACCACTTTTTACATTGACACTAGTAGGCATATTTAAACATGGCTTGTGTTACTTCATTTAATTAAAAAAATCTGTATCATGCCAAAATTACTGCATTCATTACAAAATAAACATCCCATTAAAGCCAACTGCAGTTACCTTATTATTTTCTTTGCGGACAGAAGCAAGAAGAGAATGCTTCAGAAAATGTTTGATAAAAAAAGTTTCTGACAGTAATTTTTCCATGCTTAAAAATATTCACACACAAGAGTGTCTTCTTTGCAATCACGAGTAGGAATAATTTGATTTTAACTGGCCACCTCCTTCAACTCATAACAATATATTTAGCTTGTCCAAATATATTGTTAACTAGAAATATCAAAACAAATGGCTTTTCCCATAATCTAGTAAACCTTATGTAACTCTTTGACAAAAGCTGTTCTTAATTTTATTTTTATGCAAAAGCATTTTTTCTGTTTCTTTAGTGTATTCAAGGCTTGAGGTAAAAACCAGTTTCTAATGGAGCACTTAATGCACGATTTAATAAATCTGTCTGCCTTGGAAAGTCTAGAATATGTATGAGTGAAAGATGTGATAAAGTTTCATGGTGCTTTGTGTAGAAAAGCTTGCATAGCTAATGCAGCCTTCCAAAATGCCTAACAATAAAA